CAAGTTAAACATGAGGCAGCAGTGTGCCCTTGTGGCCAAGAAGGCCAAGGGTATCCAGGGGTGCCTTAGGCAAAGTGTTGCCAGCAGGTGGAGGGAAGTGATCCTGCCCCTCTACTCAGCCCTCACCTGAGGCCTGAGGGGAGGCCTCACCTGGAGTACTGTGTCCAGTGCTGGGCTCCGCAGTACAAGAGAGACATGGCACTGCTGGAGAGAGTCCAGCGGAGGGCTGCAAAGGTGATTAGAGGGCTGGAGCACCTCTCCTAGGAAGAAAGACTGCGAGAGCTGGTCCTGTTGAGCCTGGAGAAGAGAAGACTGAGAGGCGATCTCATCCATGTGTACAAGTATCTGAAGGGGGAGTGTCAAGAGGATGAGGCCAGCCTCTTCTCCGTGGTGCCCAGCGACAGGACAAGAGGCAACGGGCGCAAACTGAACCACAGGAAGTTCCATCTGAACGTGAGGAGAAACTTCTTTCCTGTGAGGGTGAGTGAGCAGTGGAAGAGGTTGCCCAGAGAGGTAGTGGAGTCTCCTTCGCTGGAGATATTCAAAACCCGCCTGGATGTGATCCTGGGCAATCTGCTCTAGGTGACCCTGCTTGAGGAGGGAGGTTGGACTAGAAGATCTCCAGAGGTCCCTTCCAACCTAAACGATTCTGTGATTCTGTGATTTACTGCTAAGCTGAGTTATGTATTGATCACTTTTAATACGTAGGTGCCTGAAAGGTGGCCAGACACTTTAATGGATGTCCCTCTGAGGATACAGTCCAACAATATGGTTTGCACCAATCTGACCATTCACTGCTGTTGAACAGGGGAGGACCTGCAACTTGCTCAATTGGTGGAAAGCCAACAAAAAATTAAGTTTTCTTGAGATCATTGAACAGAATTGGCTCAGTGAAGGGTACAAAAAGCCATGGAGGTGGCACAACAGAGGGGCTGGGAATGCAGGGAGAAGGAAGGAGGGGAACTGGCAGATGTAACTTTTCTTAGCTGTATTGTCAAACCATACCCTTAGTCTTTTCTCTGAGACTGCGCTGGTGAGGCTTTCAGAATTATTATTCTTCTTAAAGTTAAGTGCAACTATCCTGAAACTCAAAATAACATGGAGAAGGACTTTTTTTTTTTTAACATTACTTGGAAAGTACTATAGCTAAACAATTATTAGCTAGTGATAGCACTATTAACCCATAACCGACTGAAGGGACAATTCAACACGGTGAGACGAAAGAATCCACAGCTGCTATAGATCATGTGCTACTTACTTCTCTGGATTATTTGGCAGTACTATGAGTTTTGTCTAATGTAAATATACTTCAGGGATCTAAACCAGAAAATTGTGGGATTTAATTTTGTCACAGATTTTAGACTACCACCCTATTATAATACCTAAACAGCTGGGAGATATCCTCCACTCAAGTACAAATCTCTTGAGCCGGTTCTCACAACTCAAAAATTTAAAGATTTCATAAGGGATTTCAAACAGGTCTGGCCCCCTCTTGAGCCATATGCTCTCTCCAATAACAGTGCCATTGAATTGTCAGCACCTCATTGAAATTTACAGAAAGCAAATTGCATGTATAAGCTCGAGGTTACTTGAATCGTGTGTTATAAATGCAGAAATTCTTTATTCTATTACAGGATGCCTCTGAAACATAATCAGCAAATAGAGATCTTAACATTCCTAAACAAATGGTCTTTTACACATCCCAAACCAGAGAGGACTGGTCTATTCGTGAATTATTTTAGGTCGTCACGAAAGAATATTCACAGCAGATGATAAAATGCATAGATTACAGTGAAACAGTACTTTTCATGTTGTAGGAACCTTTTGCTAAACAGACTTAAGCTTATAACAGTGTCATGGAATATGGTACTTCTAACAATAAGGGACTAGGAGAAATAGGGAAACTGTAACATATAGGCAAAACTGGATCTTCACAGAACATTTACCCAGTTTTCCATGTGGTTTCACTAGCTTTTTAAGTTCTTGAAAGCATTTTCTGTTTTAGGTGCCAGTTTTCAAGTAACTCATGACAATAACAGTATATGTTTAATGGTGGACATTCGTTGTCCCACACTTCCGTTGCTTTGGAATTCCTATGTTATGATTCTGTCTCATTATGGTTCATAAGTCTTCAGTTTTACTAAATTTTATGTAACATTTTAACTGCGGAATTCAAAGTAACAGCCAGGAACATTCCATTTTATGGAGAGGGCACAGATGACAAAACTACCTTAACAGAGGAGAAAAAAAAAAAAAAGAGCGGCATGCTTGGGAATTTGGAGAGAGGAACTGTGTCATTAAAAAGAAACTGAGAGAGATTTAAGTTGCATGTTTGCTTAGTTATTATGGCTCTTTGTAGTTTTCCAAAGGGAAAACTTCTGCCATGCAGAATTAAATGTGAGACTAAGTATTTCATAAGGTGACTTGGACAGCAGACATAAAAATCTACATATGCATCAGTTGATTACAGCTTTGACTGTCAACATCATATCCCTTGTCTTCTGAGTATCAGGAACTATACGCCTCACTGGCAAATAACATCCACATTAAGAACCTCAGAAGCTACATTTCCAGTGAGCTTTCCAGGGTGTTATGCAATAAGAAACTTAGCTCCAATACAGAATTTTGATTTATGAAACGATAGCCACTTCATTGAATTCCCTATGCCTACAATAAGAGTTTCACAAAAGAAAAGGCGTCTTCTGAAGATGATTATAGACAACCGTTACAAAAATCTGACTGATAAGCAGATTCAAGTGATGGTTGCATCAACAATTTATATGGTAAAAATATAAAGAAATTCTGAACAAAATAATTTTGGCACAGATTTGGCTAAAAATGTCAAGGCATTCAAAATATAGAGAGAAATGTCTGCACAATGAAATACACCCTGGTTCATCAAGATGACTCTAAATGCATATCTTGGAAAACAAAAATGGTATATCCCCTACGACACAGGCCTTCTGGGCTCATTACACATTCTGTGCTAAGATGCAGTATTGTTCCCAGGACTTTCTAAGCCTGGACCTTTGCATGGCAATGCAGTGTACACAACACAGAACATATTTATATCTTGGTTAGGTATCTTAAATATGGTACACAAATATATGGCTACATTGTGCAGTCCAGTTCCTCACATGAACGAGCTCCAAAAGAGCTGATATGTTTACACAACATACTGCAGTCCATGTAAATATACCAGCTCGAGTCCAAGGAAAACTTAGCTCTGTTGCCCCCTGACGCGGAAAAATTAGTTTGGTATGAGTTTGCTTTGGAAGAGAAAGCAAGACAGCCAGGTTAGTGAGGATCTCACTCGGAGATCTGCCTCAGTTCAGATCTGTATCTGAACTCACTGAGGTGTGTCTTCACAGAGCTGCACCGCACGGTGCAATGTACCAAAAAGCGCACAGCCTTGGAACGAGATAAAAAGCAAATACGGAACATAAAACTGAAAACGAGATAAAGGTGATTCAGGAGAAAGGCAGCCACAGGAGAGAAAAAAAAAAAGAAACGTCATCTCTATAAGAAGCCCAGTCCTGTCGCCACCTTCATACTCTCTCTCCTGACACACGCCATAAGCACTGATGTGCCTTATAGGTTAAAACAGACTGCTACATTAATTTCCCTTTTTCTCTACTTTGCTCTTTGTTTCTCCTGTCCTTGAAAGTACTCGCTGTTAGACCAAGCGTCAGGTAGCGTCTCGGAACGTCAGCTCTTCAGCGCCAAAGATTTTTATGAAACCCAACAGTAATGGTTTTGCTGTGAAATGATTTCTATTGTCCCTCTACAAAAAGCACTTGAACTTTGAAAAGAAGTAAGAGCTACAGTCATATAAGCTACAAGATATCACGAAAAACTGTTGATTTTTTAAAGTCTCACTTTTTTTTTTTTTTAATATCAGGCAACTGTTTTGGAGAGACATCAATAATTTAACCACTATGCCTTTTCATTTGGATATCAGCATTCGTGAACTAGCACATAAAACTATATGAAGACTTCAGATGTGTAAATTACTTCAGTGTACTTGTGTACTTTACCTAAAGTATAAGCACAAAAGGTGGTAAAAGCACTGAATACCCACACCCAGGTTGGAACAAGTCCAGGACTGGTACCTGAAATAAATTGGACAGAGAGTCAGTATAACAGCAGTTAAGATTAAAGAAATACATGAAGATATGTATATACATAGGAACAAACTGCTACTAAGATGTAAAGTAGAATTAAAGTTACGATTTGCTTTTGGCCTTCCATCAACTTATGTCATCAGTGGGCTCTATCATTTCAAGGAAACAGTGACCAGGCCTGAATATGCTCGTATGGTAAAGAGGAGAAGACAAGGTAGAGCCTTTTGGTGCTGAAGTGACTACAATACTCCACAAAATAATGCCAGTAACTAGGCAAAATTTTTCACTGTTCATGGGAAGACTACTCATCAAAAATCAGTTAATGCTTATGTAATATTCTAAATATATAAAAAGATGTGCAGTTTTCAATGTGAGTTTTGTGCAGCAGGTTTACCATATAGATCTGAACAGGAAAATTTTGCCCTTCGGCTAAGACAGATATAGTACCCTTTTTTTCCCTTTTGATAAGGTGCCTGATATTTTTTTAATGAACCTGGAAGAGAAAGCCGAACTGGACAGAATACAAGCTTCAGTTATTGTTCTGCTAGGAACAATAACCCCTAGATTATTGTTGCACTTCTAAAGAAATCAGACCCTTCTCCAAAGAGTGTTCTCCTTAAATTAAACATAATCCAATAAGGAATGAACCAGCAGTGAACAACCGCATATGCGAAACCCTTTCAGGTTTCTGGCATTCTGCACAGAACAAAAGGAAATCCTCGTACACGGAGGCGTACCCTAACTAAACCGAGAGATGCCAATATTGAAGGCAGCGTTCCTGAAGACTTTTCACTCCTGCCTCATGTGGCCATTCTGAAAGAGAAGATGGCACTTCCTGATTCTTAGCTGCAAATTTTCAAACTGTAGAATGGAAAACAGCTGTCCAGGAAATTACGGCTTTTATTTCTGATCTTGTGCATGGAATTGATATGTGATACTCAAAAGACTAGCTAGGTTGCATGAACATTTTCAGTCAATAGGGAAGCGATGAATACTGTTTTCACGTGAAATTAAGACTAGCCTTGCAAACTACACCTAAAAGTCTAAACTTTAACATCCTTTATATCACTGTTTCAAGTATCTTCAAATTCAATATGTATCCACTAGGAATGTGTCATCTGGGATAAAATCACCCGATGAAAAGGTCTGTACTGGATGCTATTTTATTACAGAATTTAGTAAATATCAACTGCATCAATAAAAATCCAAGTGTACAAAAATGAGGCTAGATATTTATGTAACATGCTGGCCCTGAAAATTTAATACTCACACAGGATTATTTTTGAAGCAAAACTACTACTAAGTATGTCTACTTCTAGAACTGTCTTAATAAATCTTCAAACAGTTCATGCCAAGAAGTACTTCCCAAAGTTAATTACAGGCATAAGACATTAAAAGGAACAAAAAAATCAAGCATAATTGTTTCAGGAAATAGAACATTGAGTCTTTTCCAAATTGCCTCGTTTAAAGAAAAGCAGAGGCTTTATATATTAATCACCTGGCAGATGCTTACTGTAGGCTTTTTTGGTTTTTTCACAACTGGCCTAAGAAATTCCGATCTGAACATTCCCTATGCTCAGGAATAGCCAGCTCCAGAAAGCTTTTGACTTGTTCTGTCATAAGGATTTGGACTTTGGAAGGTATAATTTCAAGAAAGATTTGTTTAGAAAGTATTTCTTCTGTGTAAAAGCAGTCTTGACTTGGGGGACAGCAAACTTTTTTTAGGGAGTAATGAAAGGAGAACTAACAAATTCAGGCATGGATTTAGATATCAAGAACTGTGAAACTAATGAAAACTTTATGAAGACGTCTAGGGTGGTTTTTTTTTCCAAGTTACCTTATTTAAGAAATGACTGTGTATTGGAATCCTGGCATACACTCTAAGTCAAGTCAGATATTTTCATAGACTTTGAACAGCACACGCTGAAACCCATTTTTAGGGATGAAACTAAATAAGCTTTTCCAATAAAATGGCCTGAATTTATAATGACGTGTGTCAGGGCAGATCCTCCTATATGCTCATGGAGGCTCATTAAGGGAAGGGATGGACGGTCCAGGGATCTGATACCTCCCTCTATCATTCAGGCCTGTGACACAGGCAGCTCTGCAATTCTGAAAAATTACAGCATGAGGATATTTACCTGAGGCAGTGTAGTCCCAGTCATAAAAAGATATTAGAAAATAATTAACTAAAATCATCACAAATCCAGAGAAGGTTAACACGTTGGGAGCAATCCACAAAGGCACTATCTGTTAAAAAAGAAAAAAATTCTAAGAAAAATCATATGTAAAATTAAAAGCCTTATTTTAATTAAATATTTATACTTTTTACCAGGAAAGAAGAAGCCTCTTTATGACATACATAATGTTCAGATTTGTGTACATGTTTCCATTTTCAAATTAAAAATATAGGTTTCATTTCTGAAGCAACTTATTTTTAAATGTCATCTCTCCGCATAGATCTTTGTGACTGCAGTAAAAACGTAATTTAAAAATATTATGTTTCATAAGTAATACACTCTCCTTATATTCCCAAACACCAAGGGAAGTTTCTCATGCTGTTGTGTTTCATAACTGAAAGAAGACTGCAGCACCCCAGTGTGGCAATTCAGCATCTTCATGGCAGTTCTTTAAAGCAGCCTATTCCCGTACTTTACTAAGCAAATTTCTTCTTCTAAAATATGTTAATAGTTTCCAACTCAAAACATCCACAAAACAGTCAGACACTGAGCGCATTACCCATTATATTCAAAAGAACTCCCTGCTACAAATAGCTCCCTACTTCTCTAGATATTAACTTTCTGCAGAGCCTCCCTCTTTAGCCATAAATTACAAATAGTACATTAATTCATTTTACTTTGTAGAGTGCTGAAAAGAACTGCCCATCTTCACCTGATCCTCTAATTCTTCCTTTCCATTAACTGTTCTCGGCTATTAGTCCCCTGCCGCTTTATTCCCTACAGTGCGACAGGGACTCTTTTGGTAAAGCTGTTGCCAAGCAGGACGGTTTCTCCAAATGATTTTCTGAAATACTACACGCAGCTTTTTACACAATTTTTGGCCAGAGTATATTTGCAGAAATATAGCCTAAATGTAGACCACTGCTGTTACTCAAACACACTATCAATATACTCAAACTATTTAAAAAATGCAGGCTTATACTCAATTTTTTGGAATGATGCAGGACTGAAAATGCACATAAAGAAGTACTCCAACACTACAAAACATTATAAACCGCTACTCTTCCTCTATCATATTACTATGTGAAAAATTTGCATATAAAGTTGGAATGTCTAACATTAATGATCCTGATCCTCTTCCTGTCATTACAGTGCAAACAATTAAGAACATGCAAGGAAAACTGTGCAACTAATAAAGTATAATGTAAACTTTCAAAAACAGGGAAAATCCTGAGTATTTCCAGTTGTACTTCTTAGATGTTTCTTCTAATAACACTGGAAACAGCTATTACGTCTGATAGTTGCTTTCCTTATGAATAGGCTTTTATCATCCATTTTAAACATTGTATGGCAGCCCTTACAGTAATAGAAAGATAAAATGGAATACCTACAGCTATAACAAAAATGTAGGACACACATTTTAATATACCTAACTTTATGAGTTTTAAAAACCCCAATCCTAAATTCCTAAGAACAACTGACAGCAAATATTTCCTGAAGTTCCTTTAAGAGAACTCCTTAGTGCACATTCCCATCTTATTAAATTCACTGCACACTCAGCACGCAGGGAATGAGAACGAGTGATGCTGATGAAGACATTCTGGATTGCTCTCTTTTACTCTAAAAAGAGGATCAAAACAGTGCTCTAAGACAACCTGTGGATGAGCCATTTACACGGACATGCAGATGTCCACCGATGTATTATTTTTAAATGCCTGATTCATCCTGCAAGATTCACAATAATTGTTGACTATAAATTAAAGTAAGTCCCTGTAAATGCCTGCTTTCTGATTAGGTTCATTATTCTAAATAGACACTGACATTAAATTTATTACAGGAAATAATTTATGTTTACAAAGTACAAACACTAAGGAATTATCTTAACACACTGTCTTGCATCATGTATTTTAGAAGGAAACCTACTCACAGTTTCTTTGGCTAGTAGACACACAGTGAACAGTTACAAGAGATCCATCCTCAAGAAAACAACCTCTTCTCCAGTTAACTCCCTACACATGCTATTTTGATCCTCAACTGGCCTAATTTGTCAATGTATTTTGAAAATATTCCAACTGGTAAAATCCTTTTTTTTGTATTTAATGCCCATTATTCTTTTAGTTAGCATTACACTACCATCACCCTATGTAACAATTCAGAAATCACCAGGAGTTGAAGATTAACTTCTCAAACAGGTTGAAAAACACAGCCTGGCTTCAGTCGCATCCTACATTAGGATACTGTGCAGTCATTACTATCTAATTAACAGACAGTCCAACGCTAACATGTTAACACAGTACACGAGTAATACAACTCACTGTACCATTACGAAGAATCACATCTGTTCTCTCTGTACGCAAAACCACTGCGTACTTGGACATTTTACAAAACTTTTGGTTCCACAAACTACTGATTTCTGTTCTAACAGGTCCAGAGTCATTCATGCTAAAAGCCTTAATATAAACAACAAATGTTTTAATATAATCAGCTGCTTGTTTGGGTAATAAACTGTAAAGCGCACGTATTTATATGAGGCCCTGCTCAAACTTCAAACATTGCTTGATTAAGTCACTTGAGATCACTAAAATGCTACCCATGCACAATTCTACTGATAAAATCAAAGTTCATAAGAGCAACTGTGGGGTTTTCTTTCACAGAATCACACAGAATCACAGAATTTTTAATTGACTTCAATGGAGCTGGCATACACCTGTGTATCCTAGTGGGATTTGCTCCTTTTCCTCTTCTTGTCCCGCGCAAATGTGATTCTTCATGAATACAAATACAGCAATAAATTCAGTTAGCGTGGAAGCTAAGTAATACCATCCATTATCTGCCAGAGAGCCCATGACCATGTTTTATTATCAGATACAAATCTTGATTAAAGGAAAGGCAAAAAGACAAAGCATTGAATTAATTATCAGCTATTTAAGAAGAAATATCTACAGTAGCATAATCAGAATAATTTTAAACGACGTGTAGAGAAAGTTAGTTGTCACTGCTGACTAACACAGGCATGCTGAATTTCAGCCGCTCTTCACACACCGTCATGTAATGGGGAAAAGCTGTCTTGGACAAGCATATTACAGAAATACTTCAAGTCCATTATAAAATCAAGGCATAAAACAATTCCTTTTCACTTTGTATTGGCACTAGCTTCAGTAAGAAGTCAACAGATATCTGAAGTATATACATTCAAGTCATGCACAAACTGACACATGGACATGATACAGTATGTGAGAAAGATGTCATCAGAAGAGGAAAGCACGGGAACCTCTTCATCATACTGTAATGCTCAAGATCCCCTGGAAAATTTCTAACTTAAATGCACTAATTTGCTTTGCTAATACGCCCACAAGAGTTACTAATTAAGGGAAGGGATGGAAGATCCAGGTATCTGATACCTCCCTCTATCATTCAGGCCTATGACACAGGCAGCTCCGCAATTCTGAAAAATTACAACATGAGGATATTTACCTGAGGCAGGTGATGACAATATGTTCTCACTTCTCAAGTATGTCAACATCTGAGCTCACAAATCTCTACATCTTGTCTAACATCAGGCTCTCCTTAATTTCTTGTAATATAAGAAATACATCTTACAGTGAATGACATTGCAGAGTGAAAAGGGATAATACTAAGGCTTTCCTTTGTGTTTTGGAATATACAGAAATTTGTTCCATAACTAGGACTAAATTGACACATTAAGGTCCAGACCTGAATCCCATGCCTCTATTATCACAGGTTTTTTTATTTGCTCGGCTCTGTGAATTTTTTTTTTTAACTCCTGTACAGTCCGGTGAAAATATTCCCCATAGAATGCTTATTTTCACCAGATTAGAAACTAAAAGAAAATTGAGTCATATCTGCCTGCCATCTTATCCAAATACATGTGTTAGGATGTCTGATCTGAGAGAGACTGGACTTCCCAGTCACCAAAAGGCAGGCTTTTACAGCCTAATTTCTAATGAACATATTAGAAGCGACCTGTTTCTTGTTCTTAAAAACTGTCCCACCTTTAACTAGTCTCTCTATCGTAATGCAGTGTTCTACTTAAATAGAAATAAAATGAAATGCTGTAAAATGTAAATTCAATATTATACTCTAGAACATTGAATATTACAGTCTAGATCACTGCTCACAGACCAGTTAAAAGGCTTACTATAGGTGCAAGCCACAAAGAAATCAATAAGTAAATGCATGGAAAGTTTCTCCTTCTAAAAATAAGATTTGATCACATTTACTAGAATATCACTATTTTATTTACATTTCAGGGGGGAAAAAAAAGGTATTCCCAGGTGAGCAAGTGAGCAGAACTTTTTTGGACTGAGTTTGGGCCAATATTTACTATCATACCTTTTTTCCGTACTTAGCCAGGAACGCAACCATTCTAGTAAATTCAGTTCCGAATAATGTTTTTTTGCTTAACTGAGTTTTGGCTGATAAGTTCAGTGCTCCATCAGTTCTCTTTTTTAGCCCTGGGAGTAACCTCCTGAGCTCTATTGCAATCTCCACTATGTACCGATTTCCATATTGTTCCTGTGCATCTCCAGCTCCTCTATAGGTCTCTTGTTTTACGAAAAATACAACTCATTGCTAAGTTTACCTGACAGTATGTCTTTAATCTTAGAATGACTACATCTACAAAAGCTAAAAATTTCCTTTTTAATTTTTTATGATACATTACTGAGTACTTACCCTCCAGTGTTCTTGCACCAAAAGGGAAAGCCAAAAACTGATTGCTGTGTCTTCAGTTTTCAGACGGAACAAAATGCCAAAGTAAACACGGTACCCACTCCTGACTTGCGGTCTACACTCAGATTTCCTAGCTTTTGAAACAGAGTTTCAGTCCACTGGTCTGGTTTGGGTTCTCCTTTAGCAGGAAGTGAACAAAATCATGCTTGGGCAAAATTTAAGGAGGTTTAAAAAAACTAAAGAGGTCACAGTATTTTTTACCCACCTTTATGATCCACCCTTTAGACTATATGGGGACCGGCAGCAGAACATTATTTTCCTTTTGAGAGAATCCTGCAACCGCTAGAGAAACCTACCCCAAAAGGAAGTTTGGCATTGGTAATACTACTACTCTCCCTCCAATTCGATAGCAGTGGAATATTCACGGGTGTCCTAACCCAGAACACAAGTGTGGAGTCAAGGCAGAGGGAACATGTGGTAAAGCCTCTGCTCATCCTCCACGTGGATTCTACAGTGGCAGGAGGCTTTTCTACCTCCTTGCTTTCCCCCTGGCTGTGCTGGGAATAGAAACAGCTGGCCCTCAGTTGAATTTCTGAATTCAATTTAGCATCCTTGAATTGCTTTCTTCTCATATCTTGTTCTAGTCTTTTTTGATCCTGAAGTTAGGTCGTATAAAAACTTTTATGAACTTACATTAAGGTTACGAACAGGAGATTATGATTTTCCTGCTATATTAAGCGTAAGTAAGAGCTAGGTCATAAAACACAAATATGATGAGTCCAACAGCATTCTGACCACATACATCTATTTTTATGCATATAGGTTCATATCCAAGTCTGTTCCAATCCAGAGATTTCCATTTAGGAGACAGATGCAGAAGTCATTGCTTCCCTGAAGATCAATAAAGTTTATATTTCTTTGAGATATATCTTCTCTTTATTTTGGCCAACAACAGCAAAACTAATTGTGAGCAGCTCTATTTTAAAAAACTGCATATCATAATGTATTCAGGAGATGCCACCTCCCAATCGTTATGGTGATCATGGTAACCGCTCTCATTTTCAGCTTCTTAGAGAAATGCCTTGCTCCCTGGAGCAAATACCCTTGGGAGAAAATGAAACAGCACTTGCATAAAATCATGTACACAGCGCAGAGATAAAGGAATGCTGTTGTTAGGCAGCATATGCTCTAGGAAAATAATTTATACTAAGTAAATCCTTCAATTTCTGTAAAGCTGTTTAATGAAAGATGTAATAGAAACCGATGCTTTTTGTACAATGATCAGAAAAAACACACACAATCTCATTTTTTTTAATAACTCAAAACCCAAACATACTCATCTTAAATATAGCTATATATCCCGTAAAAATATTTTTCTTCTATACAGCTGTTTTAATTTCAGCTCTGTAAAACAGCAGCTATTTCTAAATGAAATCTCTCTCTTGTGTCTTAAAACACACTCTTGCATTATCATTTGATATTTCTCTTAAATAAGACTCTTACCTTAATAATTTTGTCCCAGATGGGCTGCATAACATACACAAATAAAGGGTTTGTATCCACAGCACTGTACTGTGAGGAAATAAGCAGAGATGTAAAACAAAGCACGGAAGAACAAATCTTTTTTCATCACTGTAGATCCCTCAGCATCTAAGAACAATCATTCTGAACGTGACTGGAATAAATTTATGCTCATACAGTTGGATTTAATTAAAAAGCGGCGACCTGATTTACAATATATTGTTAGCAGCTCCAAATTCAGACTCAAAGGTTTAGGCTGATGCAATGGTGAATAGTTCTATAGTCACACTTCCCTTAAAAATTCTTACTCCTTTTACAAGACATCCTATAGAGGTCTGTGTTTTCATGTATTTTTGGTTTAATTATCTTCATTTGCACCATTGGTAATGCACAGTCTCAGCAGCAGTTCATTGACAGTACATAGAATACATAATGCATGGTCTTAAGTGGAACGCTACCTCACAGAGACGCACAGGTTTTGACACAGTAAAACAGTCACATTTCACAGAATCACAGAATGGTTGAGGTTGGAAGGGACCCCTGGAGATCTTCTAGTCCAACCTCCCTCCTCAAGCAGGGTCCTCTAAAGCCTATTGCCCAGGATCACGTCCAGGCGGGTTTTGAATATCTCCAGCGAAGGAGACTCCACTATCTCTCTGGGCAACCTCTTCCACTGCTCACTCACCCTCACAGGAAAGAAGTTTTTCCTCACGTTCAGACGGAACTTCCTGTGGTTCAGTTTGTGCCCGTTGCCTCTTGTCCTGTCGCTGGGCACCACGGAGAAGAGACTGGCCCCACCCTCTTGACACCCCCCCTTCAGATACTTGTACACATTGATGAGATTCCCCTCT